CTCCGGGCAGCGTTGCAAGAAGAGTTGCTCTGAGGTTGCGGTTGGCTAGCTCTCTGCTGCTGGAGATCAGTATGAGGTGTTTGAAGAGTAGACTGTGGGGGCTTTGTGGGGCTTGGGTTAGACAGCAGGCTCCTGTGTCTGGGGTCTGCATTGAGGAAAGCTGATGGCGAGTGACTTGGTTGGGGGTTAATGAAGCGGACAGCAGCGCTTTGCTGGATGGACTGAGGTTGGATGTTGCCTTGGTAAAGATGACTGTGGCTGGCGTTGGGGATGGAGTTGTTCAGGCGGCTGGATGAGGACTCCTCGTGGTTGGGCACAGAGTGCTGAATGCCGCACTGGGGCAGATGAAGCTTTTGATGGACGCTCGGCAGAAGCAGCCCATGGCTGGGTCCGGCAATCTCTGACGTCTGGCGCAGAGTCACGCCAGGGAACAGTGGGCCTTTCTGCTTAGTGTACAGCTGGTACTGTTGGTAAGGCAGGAGGTGCCCAGCCTTGATACTGTCTCAAACAAATGACAAAGTAAACAAAGATTTCCCTCTAATACTTTTACAATATAGAAATAGATGAGCGAGGCATGCCCACTAAACACACCTGTCAGTGATCCACTGTGGCCTGACGACCTTCTCCCCTTTGAGCTCCTTAATTTTGCTGTTGGGCAAGTTATTGGTGATGATGTGGGTGGTGTTGGAGCGAGAGTAGTACGTGTGGAAGCGGCCGCCATGCAGCATCATCAATCTGCGCAGCTCATCTGCACTTGGCTCTAATCACAAAGAGGTAAACAATTATACAGTAAACCAAAATGACTAAAATAAATCATAATGTCTGTTAACTGGGAATCCACACAAGACAAAAGTCCTACTTATAGATCTGCACAAAACATCACAACCACAGGAAACAGATACACAGAGACAAACTAGTGATACATAAAAAACATGGAGGTACCGTTGCATCGCGTTACCTGTGTATCCATTGACATAGATGGAGACTCCACTAAACATGTGCGAGTATGAACCGTCCTTCTGTTTCTCTCTCGGGGCATCGAGATTAAACTGCTCGTCCAGCTTAGAAATTTTGGCAGCCATGTAGCCTCCCTACAAACAAGGAGAGCGGTGACAGAACACAGTTAGGACATCGTTCACAACAAGCATGCCTGCAGAATTATAGACAACCTGAAATGGCATGATGAAGTTATGGTTTACATAACAAACCCCCCCCCAAAAATGTATGGTTGGTCACGAAACGTCTATATATACACAATACATGTATAAAGTATTGATATGCTGATAGGAATAGGCCTTCAACTATATCAAGATACAGGTATGCAACTACTATTTTAATTATATGTATAAATAATAGACTTTACACATGGGTACTGTGTGCATTTTCCTATGAACACACCCTAGCAATGTATACAACATTGAAATAAGGGCACTTATATGTTGCTTTGTGCAGATAAAAAAATACTTTAGGCGCTAATGTTTCTTTACAGTTACACCAATATTAGAGATTGTCTAGCACTTGATACTACTGTTAATATGGTATATTTTATGCATGTATGCATGTATCTGGCTATTTGCAGCTCTCACAGTTGTGTTAAAGCTCTGCCTGGCAGTGTAAGCCTTTACCTAATTAGACAGTGACTTGTGATCTGCTTCGGGCTCTTAGCTGTTATAATGAAATTGCAGGGGGCGAAGAACAACAGGGCTGTTCAATTCCAGTTTCACAGTGATATTGTGACGCTCACTATGCACAAACCATGTGCCTTTTACCCCAATGCATTTTTTTATTATTCTGAAGGCAGCATTTAAACTCCACATTAAGCTGCCTATTTACACTTCTCCGACAGTCATATAACCAGCTGTGAGTGGGAATGTCCTCATGCTGATGATGTTAATTCTGCCTTAAATTGTTGTTGTTGATGATGATGATGATGATGATGATGATGATGATGATGATGACTGAGTGACAATACTCACCCTTTCAGCCCAACCATCATCACCACTGGCATTGGCTCTCTTCTTTGCCCACCCATCTCGACTCATACTGAGCTACCTGAAAGCAGCACAAGAGGAATCAATAACATCGTGTCATACAAGGCAAAGCTGTGATCAGTGAGGATCAGACTGTACTCAGTTTAGTGTTTATTTTATTTAGTTGAAGTTATTTCAAAAACCAGCCTAGGAGGAGACTTCGTGTCCAAGGGCATGCCCGGGCAGCTCCTCTGTGTTTGACAGGTAGGTTACAACAGAGCCCCATGTGGCACTTTGGCACATTTTGCCCATGTAAGCAGCTAACAGTAAGTTAGCTTAGCCACGTTGTGCTAGTTGATCGTACATGTCGCTGCGCCACGATCATGCCAATCCAAGCAAGCGGGAAAAAAAAATACGAGTATAAGTGTGTTTGACTGCACTCGCCTACAGTGCTGGTAGAATAGCTAACGCAGCCAAACAATGGAGAAGGTAACGTTACCAGACTGAGTAACTTCAGGCGTTGATCGCGGGTGTAAACAAACAAACAGCACTGAGTGGTAGTTCACTAATAGAAGTCCCGTTTACCTTGTTCTCCTGTCAGACTGGGTGGTTCGCCACAGACTTCTCTCTGCAGACAGTGGCCAACACGAGCGTTGAGTGCGCACTGATTACGAGGTGAGACCAAAAAAGCAAAGCGAAATGAAAATCCTCCAGACAGCAAGCGTTAGCTCGACTCCTCAACCTTGACTTTGTTCCTAAGAGAACTCCTGTCGGTGGACTGAGATGCCCCTATTTTGTCTTGCTGCCACGCCATGTCTCTCCAGCGTTTTTGCTCTCCCTCCTGGTCCTTTTGCTCTCCATTTCTGCCGCCTGAGCTCTTTGCTTTCCCTTTCCTCAGTGGGAGTCAATGCGAGAAGGTGACGTAAAGTCATTCCGGAGATGTCTTTTCAAAATAAAACATTTGACAATGAGTTGAATGTTGGGAGTTTGGGTGGGAAGCAAATTAACAAAACAGTGTGTTATTTTGTCACGCCACACACATATTATACTATATAACTTATATACTGCAGGCAATAGGCCAAAGTAAATGTATACGCATATGTAAGTTCATACGACATTACTTAACTAGCTAACTTCTCAGTCAGTGAGGACTGAACGCTATTGAACCGGCACACAGCTCGCATACAGATAACCAGTAAAGAAAAAGAGGTATTCAACTTTAATTCGTTGTGAATATTTCAATTATTCTTGACAAATTATTCAGTCATAAAAATGTCATCAACAAAAAAAAACCTGTATTTTATTTTCAAAAACAAAATACGCTCAACTTCCGGTGTTCTTGTAGGTTTCCGTAGTTGCATTGCAATGCTGCCACTGTGCGGGTAGCCGGGAGCATGTCACCTGAATTGACAGTAGAAAATAGCCCTGAGCTTTGTACAGTTTTTAAACCGCCCGCTCTGATATTTTCCACATAAATATATATACTCTTTGGGCTCGACATGATCACAAGAGCCGTTAGTGTAACGTAGTTTGATATAGAAGCGGTTGTCGCCTTCTGACAGATAGTTCACCTTTTAAAATGTGTCTCCGTGGTAAATCAGGAGGGTTTGTGTTCACAAGGTGCCCACGCCGCCTGCTTTTCCTGCGTCAGACAGTCGATCACAAAAAAAACCCAATCTAGTCTGTTTTTTTCCTCCGGTGTTTGTACTGTCTGGCTCCGAGCACGGTTGTCCTCAGACGGCCCGGGCACACAAGCACAAACGGGCCGTGACGCAGCGGCACGTGCAAATTGAACGAGTCGAGGAAGCGTCACGGCAGCCCGCTCCGCGCGAGCTCACGTTGAGGCAATAACAACTATACAGTCTGACAAAAGCATCGTGTCAGCAGCTCTATATGGATGGAGTGAAATAAGGTCAGGCAGACACTGAGCCGGAACAAAATGGGTCTCATGCATTTAGTTTTAAATCAGTGCCTGATTTGGATAAAGAGACACGTGATCTATTTGCTTTAATTGATCATGTAAGGCAACAATGGCAGGTTTTAAATACTCTTAACAAGAGCATTGATTTGCTGACGTCAAATGTAAGTGACCTACTTAAATGTACATAACAGTCCCCTTCAAGTGATAGCGGAATGAAGCAGGTCATAATCCAGGGAAAGAACATTAAGGTAGTTTGCAACAAATCCCATTTCCCAGAATCAAAAGCGCAAGGATGCTCTGACCCGAGGCTTGTTGTGTCCTGAAGAGCTCCCTTATTGGTTGTTCTCTGTTGCTATGGCACCAGACATCGGATGCTGAAGTTACAGGCGCGACTTCTGTGTCGGTGCAGCAGGAAGTATAGTTGCAGTGATGGAGAGTCAGGGAGTGATTGGTGGATCTCTGGACCAAAAAAGTCTGACTCACCCATGCCTGTTGTGTGTGTCAGTGACTAAGACAGAGAAATAACCCTGAACCTTCAAACGAAGAGCAAACTATAATAGTAAACAAATACGAAGGAGTTAAACACATAATCCGGGCTAAAAGTTACACAGTTGCAGCTGCAAAATGCAGGACAAACATCTGGCAACAAATTAATAATCACAGATGTGAATGTGTAAATTAATAGACTTGTAATATCACTGCCCCATCTAGAGCACAGTAGATCTGACTGTAATTATTTGTGTATTCCATTGTTAACATGTACCTTGTCTATGATTCTTATAGAATGAAAGATACTTTGTTCATCCCCAAACACAGGGTTATTTAACCTTAAAGTTACCTCAGTAACCCCAAACCTTGCTTTGTAACGGGTGCAAGCTGCTACAGTATAACCAGATTCTGATAACATACAACGTTCAGTAACGTTAGGAATATAACGTTATGGGAACGTTAGTATTATTATGCCCCTAGACTACCCTTGCTGTCTACTTTCAGACTAGTCACTGGTGACCAAACAAGCTGTGAATTTAAAATACAAACTCCTGAACCAGACCCAAGACAATAAATTGACCAAGAAGTTGTTGATCTCTTTACCTTCATTATTCACTAAATTACAAATTCCCACATTCAAAACAGGGCCAAAAATAAACCTTTTCATAGAAGGAACCTTGAATGTCAGCAACTAGACTCCCCAAGATTTTATTTCTTTCGTTTTTGTTCTTTTTAAAAAACAACAACTGATAATCCATCAAATATTGCACAGTAAAAACATGTAAAAGTAAAAACATAGGAGATTTTTAAAAAAAAGAAAGAATAATTAAAACCTTCATTAGAAAAGATGCAAACAAGTTTTCTACTTCGTAGAAAGGGGAATATGATTGACTGGTCATTTTTCTTTTTTGCATCTTCTCCTGTTTTGGCCCGAGAGAAACAGTCTGCTGGATAATGATTTATTCCAAAGTATGAAAAAGGCTTCACATATGCAATTGCACAAACAGCTGTGTTGTACGAGAGTCCTGTTTCTGTCACCGTGGGACATTTGGCAAATGGTTACAGACTTCGAATCCACAGCACACACACGACTCTTCAGCTTAATCCAACGATGAGGAAGAAGCTGCCAGTAGTTCACCGGTGACAAGTTAAAAGGCTGCTCCTTCAGAAGGCTTCGCACACAGTAAGCACCCCGACATCCTATGAGGATCGTCGGGCTCCATGGGATTTCAACCAACTCCAACCAGCTCAGAGGGTATCGGTGCCGTCCTGTCAGCTGCTTAGAGATCCAGAGTTCTGTCTCTTGAAAGTGAGAGCGGTTATAGTAAATCCTCTCCTTGTTAGTTAAGTTTGGCACTAATGCGTATCCACTGAAGAGCCTGTCGGGTGTACTGGACCGCATGAGCGATGCTACTGTGAAGAGTCAATGGCCCAGACAAAGTATTCAAGTAGTTGAAGAACTCTGTAATGAAAAAAAAGACAGTGCTATCAAAACCTCCCACTATCATGGGTGTTCAGAAACATCCATTTTACATAATGGCTTATTTTCATGTCAATCTGTGTCGCTCAGAGGATCTGCTATACCTTTATTCTCCTTTGCGAGGTTGTCTGCCACCTCCCAGTACTCGTAGCTGTACAGGACACTGTTGGTAATGTTCAGGTGATTTGCTGCCATCTGGTGGATTCGTTGGGGAATGCTTATGAGCGAGGGGAAGGCGGTGCCCCCGTGTGAACCCCGTCCCAGATGTTTGGCATCGGGCGAGAGTGAAGAAGGAGGTCCTCCTGTGCTCCTGGTGGTGAAAATACATGTACAACCGCGTGGTAGTGATCAACGAGCATTTTGGTGGCTGGAATGAAAAGCAAATGAATCAAACAGAGATCATGTAATATAGTTATTATCCACCTACTTCCCAGAGTCACTCCAATCGGGTGGCGTAGAAGGCACTTTGGGAGAACTCTGTAATGACACCGCCAACCAGTCATCCAAACCCAGATGTTTACACTCTACCAAAAACTGTCCAGAAATCTCTCAGTGTAAATGCCTTTATGTACTTGGAACATCAGACCTGTTTATAGATATACCTTAAAGTAGTCCAGCAGAACTTTGGAATACTTAAACGCGTGGTCCTTCTTTAAACGAAACATTTGCCAGTAAAGGAGGGCAAGGCATCGGAAACTGTGGACGACACAAGCGCAAGTCAAAGAGACTCAGACGGAGTCACAAATCATCGTCAGAATGTGCGTCCTTCACTGTGATGATAGATGTGGCGTAAACAGAGGAAAGGACATACGCACCACAGAACCGCCAACTGTTTGTCTTCCTGTCTCGCCCCAGGGCCAGAGTGGCTCTTCAGCCTCATTGCGTACCTTAAGACACAGGACTGTTACCAATGGAGCTGAAGCTCATGCATGTGTACATATGTATGTGTGAGAGTGTATGTTTAGTTTCTCAAATGTAAATAACTTGCATCTGTTTTTGCATGAATGAGCAATTCACCTAATTAGCTCCACTGTCTCTGAGTACATGGTATAAGGAGACTTTGCCTCTAGTGGCCCTTCCTCCATTGCTTTCCCACATTCCATAAAGGAGAGGGCGGCGTCGACGTAATTCACAGCCTTCCCCAGCTTATCCACCTGGATATAAGACATCCAACATAAGTAAGGATGGGAGAAAATATGAAAGGAATATCGTCATAGCCGTAAGTGTCTAAAACAAGCAGGAATTAGCTGCGAATGTCTTTAGCTCTTTGCAGGAGAAAAGATTGATCCAGGAGGTGTGTAGCACAAAAACTCTATGTCGGGGAAACAGCAAACCTAGCTCCATCAAAGGTGTCTTATAACAACTGGGAGGCTCCGTTCTTCACCTTCATTTGCCCGCTTCGGTTGTGCCAGACCAACTAGTGGATGGCACAGTAGAAATATTAGACTTAATATTGGTCTCTCCGTGGGCAAATATTTCCAATTTTTAGCCGGGAGACGATCTGTGAGGTCACAATATATCTTTAAACTCACTGTTGGATAACAGCTAAAGACATTTTATGTTTTGATTTTTCCCCCTGAGGTTTTTGTTTTGGTACCACACCAATATGTGACCGAATCACTCAGTAACTTCCACAGTTTCTTAGATCACAAATGTTTTTTTTTTGTAATTTCGAACAAAACCCAGGTGATTCTTTGATGTGCCAGTTGCTGGTTTGCTAGCCAGAAAGGGGATGTCTATAACACAATTTTGGAGCACCTTGAATGTTATGTATTTTTAATCTTTAGTCGTTTCTCTCTGCTCCCAGTCTTTGTGCTAAGCTAGGCTAAACACGTCCTGGATCAATCTAATGACTTTCTTGGGCAGGGAATATGTTCTTATTCATATGTTCTTTGTGTTTCTCTGTGAGGTACTTTGTATCTTCCCTGAAAACAAATGGGCTGTGTACATAAAGTTGTTTATGTGCTTGCTTACTGAACACATTGAAATTCAAATGTTGCTCTTCACATTTTACTCCAAGTCAGAAAGCAAATGGTTGTATTTCCCAAAATGTCGGAGTATTGCTTCAATTTGTCATTTCATTTCATTTATTAGGATCGCTAATAGCTTTAGCCCAAGCAGCAGCTATTCTTCCTGGCGTCCACAATCATTGTACAACATCCCAGTCTTGCTTCACTGTCGGCAATTTATATTCAGACCGAGATCAATGACTCACCATTGCGTCTGCACGGTGCTTCATCCTTTTAGCTTCATGTAAGTAGTACTCAGCGTGGTGCGGACTGAGATGCACAGAAACACAGAAAAATAAGTGCAGTGCAGTCGCAATGTTTTTCTCACCGGTGTATCACAACACACAGGTGTCTGGTTAATCTGTATCAGACAAACATTAAACAGTGTGGCTCACGTGTCATTGTTTGGCACGGCCCCCCTGTGTCCTGCAGGGCCCCAGGACTCGGATGGTGGTTGAGGCTGTCTTGACACTTTCACACATTCCACCTCCGTTTTGGGCTGTGTGGCGGACAGGTGAAGAAAAAGAGGTGAAATAAACCGAAAGGCTGCGAGGAATGGTGTTGGGATGATCTAAACAAGTACTTCTCTGTCACACCTTCAGAGCAGAATCTCTATTCTTGTCCCTGTTCTTGTGGGCATGGGCATGATGCTGCTCTGAAGTCTTTGCTTTGGGGGGAGGCTTGGTGGACTGAGGGCTGTCGGACAGCGGAGACAGGGGAGACAACGGCCTCTTGCTGTCCAAGTACTCCTCCAAGTACCTGCAAGTACACAAACCCACACACGTACAACACGCTTATTGTATTTTGTGCAAACAGTGTGATTACACATACGTTTGTGAGACAAAGTGGTGTGTGTGGTGTTATTTTACCCGTTGTGCACGGTCTCCGTGACAAAGTTGCGCTCAGCCGTCTGAGATAAAGACTCCTTTGCATGAGGGATGCTCCTCTTGCTTTCTTTGTGTGACACACCATTCTCCAACTGGTCACACACAAACACACATGCTTTGAAGAACAAGCCCGCATCGATGCTTACATATTATTAATGCGTGGAAGCGTGCACAGATCTACGCATCAAGGCAAATGTACGTGTTGTCTACCTTGCGTTTCCTTTTGCCGTCTTTCGTCGCGGTCTCGGGGACATACAGGTGTTTCATAGCCTCTCTTTGCTTGTCCTTGGTAGATGAAGGGGAGGAAGAGGAGGAGGGTTTTTTAACAGCAGAACTAGTAGTGCTGTCCGGGACCCTTTTGAGAAGGCAGAGGTCTATCTGCACCACCAGATTTCTAAGCCCTCGCTGTGAAGGCGCTGTAGTTTGTTCACCTCGCCCAAATGGGACCAGGGTGTAGAGTTTTTGCTTCCCCTCACTTGGGTGACTCGAGGTGGGTCCTCCGGGGTGCACAACCTTCGGCCTGTTGGCGTCGGGCCTGCCCAGACTTTGCTGCCCTCTCTTGGGGAGTCTCTTGTAAGAGGTGGAGTCTGCTGGAACTTTGGTGACCGGAGCCTGATATTCAGATTCGGAATCTGAATTTGGAGAGGAGGAGATGGAGGGTGAGGAGGATGGTCTGTGAGGAGTTGGGGAACGTGACGGAGGAGGTGATGGGTCTTGCTGCAACTCTCTCTCCTCCTCACTTCTCCCTCCCTTTTTTGTCCTCCCCTGATGGTGGGAGTCGTCTTCAAGGCGGTGTCGCTCAGTGTTGCCAAGCGGTCTCTGTTTGACCTGGACTGTTTGCCATTCACGTCTAAGTTGCTGGTCCTTTCCTCTTCTGTTTTCCCCTCTTACTGTCTCGTCTCTCCTCCTCTGCCTCTCTACCACTCCCTCCTCCTCCTCCTCGTCTTCTTCCGCCGAGCTATCAATCCAGGGACGTCTCAGTAGCTGCTCCTCCGCCAGCCTTCTGTCTTCCTTTCTCTCCTGTTTCCCTTGTTGTTTTTTCCGATGTCTGTCCTCTTTTCTCTCGTGTTCTGTCCCCTCAGCTTGGCTCAGATGAACTCCTCTGAGGTCTACCTCCTGTTCCTTGGACTGGGGTTTCTTCCGTGTTATAGTATGATTAACATGCACAGGGGTTGGGGCTGCAGCCTCCGAAGACTTGGCCCTAGGTTTAAGGCTGGGGTTTGATCTGGAGCTCAACCCAGTATTATGATTAGTTGCAGCTTTAGGGGTAGATTGGGATTGAGAACTATGACCAGAGTTGGTTTCACGACTAGTGGGAACTAAGTGCTTTGATGTTTTGGGGCTATGTTGTGAGCTAGATTGAAACAAAGGCCTGGGTTTGTGGTTGAAGTTGTGGTTGGATCTACTACTCTGGATTTGCTCAAAATGTGACGTGTGTTTGGGAGCCTCAGAGAGCTGTTTAGAACTAGGATGAAAGTTAGACTTGGGTCTAGATTTATGTCCCTGACGCTGTTTAGAGTTTAAAACAGCAGAAGTCTTAGTTTTGCTTTGGTCTTGGTCCTGTGTGGGTCGAGTCTTGGGCCTGTGCTGGTGAGTTGGCTGAAGATGAGTGCTGTTTGTAGGCCTGCTCTTGGTGTCGGTGTTAGGCAATGGGGTAATCCATGACCTATTTTTTGTCCTGTGGGGATTGGTCGCTAGGCTAGGTTGTGTTCTCTGAACCTCAGGGCAGTGCCGAACCCTGGAAGGAGTAGGTAGGCCTGGACTTGGGCTTCTTGGAGGGTCTCTCGGGCTAGGGCTACGGCTGGCTCTCGGGCTCCCACACGGACTGGGGCAAACACTTGGAACCGGACTGGAGATCAGGCTTTGCCCCGGGCTTGGGCTGGGACTTGGGCATGTGCTGGGGAATGGGCTGGGGCTTGGGCAGTAGCTGTAACCAGGGCTAGGTAGGTGGCTGGTGTTGTGGCTGAAGTTGAACTGTGGGCTGGGAATAGGGCTTTGGCTCGGGCTGTATTCCTGATTGCTGTCCCAGGACCTGGCTGGAGATGGGGCTCTTTGGGTATGGGGAGAGGGAGGACGTCCTGGAATGCTCTCGGAGGGCACTTGGTCACTGCTGGAAGATTTTCTCTGGGACTTCTTCAGCCATTTATCCAACTGCCACTGGGCCGCAGAGGGGTGATCAGTCTTAAGAAAGCACAGAAGAAAAGAGGAACAAATAATAATCATAAACTAGATGAAGTTCAAATGAATCTTGGCTAATAGTGAGGCTTAATGCACACCTTCTCGTAGACAGGTGCAGAGTTGAGTCTCAGTTCAAAACAATTCAAAAGCCCAGATTTTATGAACACAATTCTGACTACATTTGGTTCCTAGTATGAGTATGAGTCTATTTTCATATTTTAAAGGAAAATATTTGAAATTTACTTGATAAGAAGGACATTATATCTATGCAGGGAACATACAGTAAGTATCGTAATTTAAAAGGTGATCATTTGAAAGTTGAAACATCTCAATAAGAGTAACTTAAGCTCATAGTGAAGTAGCAGAAAAAGGAAATACTCAAGTAAAGTACAAGTATGTCAAAATTGTACTTACGTACAAGACATGAGTATATGCCCTGTGTTACATTCTACCACTGTACACATTTCTTTAGGTACAGTATATTAGTTCAGAGATAACGAGTTGCAAGCAGAGACCTTCAGCCATGTGAGGAATGACAAACATATACCGCAATATTCTCACATTGCAAAAGAACCATTTACAATGTACATAACAAATCACTGACCCAGCTGCTGTTAAAACAATTCAAGCTCCAAAAAAACACAACTCTGGATTATGACTCATGTCTGAAAAAGTGTGGGTTCACAAAAAATTCCAGCTGACATTTTAGCCTCCTTTCAATAGCCTACCTTCTACATGGACTCACAGTCCACATATGTACTTACAGTTGCTCAACCCCCATCCAATTATGCCAAATGAATCACCTAATGTTTGCTTAACAACTGGCTTGGCAACCAAAAATGAGACAACCGCAAGAAAACGCAGGAGTTTCTACTTTAAAAAACCCCCAAAAAAACCGAAGAGAATACTCACGGCTGGAGAGCAAACTTCTTTCTCTCTCTCTCTCTCTCTCGCCCGTTTCTCTCTCGTCGCTGACCAGGAACTAAATTAAACCTCTACTCCTCAAGTCAAACAGTGACCCCCCTCCGCACATCCCTCGCCCTCTTTCCAGAGAAGACACTGCATCTCTTGTACCGTCTCGACTGCTCTCCCTCCTTCTTTTCTGGCCCTCCCTCTTTCTCTCACTACCTGGAACTCTGGATTCGCTGCTTCCATAACTCCAACCCCCATCTCTTGCTTGGGAGACATTTAAACAGTCCACGTAAATGAAAAACACATGGTGTGCACCCCCCTGCCCTCCTGCCGCCCCCACCCCCAAACACTCCACTCCCTCCCCTCTCTATAGGGGCCCAAATGTAGTGCATGTTTAGTAATGCAGACCACTATGTTGTACAGGGCCTTCCATTCATAAAAGAGGAGCAGGTTTCCCTTTTATTCCCCACGTAGCACACGTCTCAACCCCCACAATGCCCCACACCTCCAAAAGTCCATCATACCAACCAGCGCTAAGTCACCCATGCAATACTTATCTAAGAAAACGATACGCAAGTAGTCCACATCCTATGTGTGCACTGTTGTTTTGAAAGCAAAGGTAACTCCAGTTGTAGATGTCAACATGAAATCGAGTCTTGATGACTTCCACCTCCCGAGGGCTTTTCCTCTTTGAGACTGGGCCTGTTGACATGACACCCAGGCACTAATTCCCAAAGCTAGCTCTGCCCCTCACCCTCCTCCTCTTCCACCTCCTCTCCAACTCAGTCATTCCTCATTCCTCTGTCCCTCTCCATACCTGCCGTCAACTGCCTCGAGGCCACCACTCCCTGTAGAGAATTCCCCCCGAGGGCACACAACCAGAGGAAGAGACACACAGGCGAGGCATGGGTCAGAGAAGATTGAGAGCGGAAGAAGAGGAGGCCGGATACTCAGCATTGGTACCTCCTTGCTGTTGCACCGTGGCGACGCGGGATCAGGGTGAACGTCTGGGCTCTGGCTGGGGCTCCGGGAGTACAGACTGCTGCTGCACGACCCGACGGCGGAGTTTGAGCCCGAAGAGTCAGAGCTGGAATGTCTCACTCGCCTGCCATGTGTGTGCGCTCGCTGTGCTGACAGGCTGTCAGTCAACACACAAACATCAGAGAGGGGTCAAGCGTACGTACACAGTGGAGCACACACACACACACACACACACACACACACACACACACACACACACACACACACACACACACACACAGAAGCAGACAGATACAGTTGTTAATCACACAATTTAACTTACGTTTACAGACAAACACCCAAAGCTCATATCCACAATATGCAAATTATATTTGTAATGAAGTACCTGTGCCCATCCCAGGAAGCTGACTCATGAGTTGCCTTCAGGGACAACACACAACAACAACAAACAAAAAGAGAAACTAATCATACAAAGCGGCAGCGTAGTGAACAGCTTGCTACACTCAATGTGTTACCACTGCTGTCTTCAAGTCTTACCATCCTTAGTAGCAAGTACAGAAACAGTTCGTAAGTGAGTGGCAGTTGGGCTAAACTGCGTATGGGTGTGTGTGTGCACACTATTAAATACTACCGGAAAAACAGCTTAGGTCAAACTACTTTGTTATTTAATTAGTTACAGTCATTATTTCTCTGTCATGCCAAACATTTGGCCCATCCCACATGGGATTAGAAGACACTGCTATCTTACAAAACATGAACTTTTTTATTTTACTAAAAAAAGAATACTAATGTTATCATTTTTAACCATTATTATCAACAAAGAAATGTTAATATAGAAATAGTATCTTCAAAGCACTTTGAGAGTCACCTACCCTTTGAGTGTCTTCATCGTCACTGCTCAGCTTCAGGTCATCAGCAAGCATGCTGTAAGGAAAGAGAAACACACCCTGAAAAATGACGCAATGTTGTACATTTAATCGCCAGTATTTTCAATAGAGACTCACTGATACAACCGTTTCTCCCCCAGTAGCGATTCTGAGCCAACCTCAACTCAGCCAATACCGATTATCGAGCAGTGCTCTCTTTTCCACACATTTAAAATCTACATAAATCACTGTGTGGGACACATGGAGATCATTTTCATGTACAATAACACAATACCCGGGAATACTGTGAATTGTATAGTGATATTGCGGAAGAAACTGTTTCTAATGTGGATTGGTCACATCATGGCTGATAGTAGACAGACTTAATTAAAGGACAGTTGTGGCGTTGATACAAATCCATCGTATGAGATTGGTGCACCCATAGTTTTCAACACTTTTAAGTCACAAGCTTGTTAAGTTTGTTTCATTTATGGACTCATGGGTCGTTGTTCAGTCTGGGATGTGGTGGATCAGCTGCTCGGCAGCTCAGTGAAGGAGAGTGTTTCTCCTTCTTTGCATTTTTCGGCGGAATCAATGAGAGTGTAAACAGGTTTGCCTAATTGTGTCCTCTGAGTAGGGACGGGCTGGGCACTGAGATAGGTAAGGTGTAGCTCTGCAGTATATTTGGAGTGCTCATTGGTATGTAATGAGTGGCCATAGATGAATCGAATGGCAGCAGCAACTAAACCTTGTATTAATGGTATTTACATTGTATTTTTCATGATCTGGATGCCTGCTCTGTTTGGCTCACCCTGTGCTGACCTGGGTAGGTGGAAGGTCCCAGTTAGGTGAGGCTGGGAAAGTGAAATGCATTTACTGGAGCAGGGGGAGAGAGGAGTTAGCAGCTTGCTGTGAGGCTGCAGCTTTCTTTTGTCAGGTGTTTCTTTTCCTTCAGTTTTATTAAAATGGCCAGGTTTCATTTTTGCCCTTTGTTTCAATAACTTTTTTGCTTAAGGGCCAGTGTGTAGCATTCAGAGGGATCTATTGGCAGATAATAATATTAATAAAAAATTATGTTTTCTCTAGTGTATAATTACCTAAAAATAAGAATCGTTGTGTTTTTGTTACCTTAGAATGAGCCATGTATGTTTCTACAGTAGCCCTAAACAGACAAACCAAACTCTGGCTCTCGATCGGCTCATTTGCATTTTCTCATCAGCCACCGTAGTTTCCTACACGCTTGGCACACGGGAGAAGTTTCAGTTGGCTTACAACTCTGAACATGTGTTTCACAGTAAAAAGAGGATGTAAAGGGAAAACAACCAAGAGCACATCAGTCTCAACTGAGAGCTTTCAGGAATGTTCACTGGCCTTTGACCTGACCTTTGTTATGTAGCCTGAAACGCTGTGTTGACTGACTCTATATGTCCATTTCCCTTCACTGTCGTTAATGCTTTTCTCTGTAGCTGTACAAACGAGGATGTTCGTGATTTCTACCTGATTTTACAACAGCTGTTGAGAAGAAGACATAAATCACGTGTGTGATGTATTATATTGTCTGTGTTTGATGACCTTCGGTGGATCATGTTTCCTCATTACCCACTTACGATTTGTGAGGTGCCACGCGAGGGTGACGGGTCAGTCGCAGCTGAACATCCCCTCGACCTCACAGAGGAAGAGAGAGAAAACATATTTAAAACCAGGCAACAAACCATAAATCAACCAATTGTAAAATATTGCACATATCAGACAAGCAAACAGTCAGTGAACACATACTTTGCCTTTGTTGTGCAGTCGGTAGTTTTGCTTCCTTGGAAAGAAGGAGAACAAAGGATTGTGAGCAGAATTCTTTATTTACATGTCTAAGAGTACTCAGATTTAGCTTTGCCCTACACAGTATAATATTATTTGACTCACGACGGACAGTTTAAAAACAAAAAGGATAAATATTGACGCAGCAGAACCAGAGATATCGTTATTTTTTTACTCCACGCATTCTTCTTCAAAACATGGCGCCTACATGACCCACAATGGAACTTGATTGACAGTTTGCTTCTGAGATGCAGGTGTGTTATTCTGGTAGCGGCTAATGTAGCCTTGAGCTCCTAGCCCCAAGCAGAGATGAGGAGAGATCTCCAGGGGTCTGGTAAGTTCACACCTCCAGATCTTGAGGCCAAACTGAGTCTGATAAATTGCCTCAAGTGACATAATTTGAGGCAATTCATCAGATTCATCAGATTCATCAGATTCCCCTGTGGAGCCACAAAAGGCTTCGTACAATTTTTCACATACGCAGTAGTACTCTCCAAGACCTGTAAACAGACTTTATTATGCAAAATCTGTGAAGTTCCCCTTTAATCATCAAAGATAAAGAACAAACACATATACAATACACACATACTTTAGAGTTGTAGAGGATTCGTTGGGCCTGGTCACCCCCTAAGGCTTGCTGGGTCATGTCCTGTGCAACAGAGAGGGAGGGGGGGGGGGGGGTTATCGAAGGTGAATGTGTGAGACGCCACTGTGATTAATGTTCTTCACATGCAGAAACGCCAGACATCCTAAAACTGTCACTCGAACTTTCTTGATTTTCTTTCATTTCGGAGCAACTTATCTCTAACATTTACATTTACACACATTCAGTCCAGAGAGCCCAATTTTACAGCCGAGTCTCTCGTTATCAGCACGGCTCCTCCCCACCAGAGGGAGTGTGACAAGACATAAATAAGGGTTATTCTCAGTGTTTCTTGTAGACCAAGAGATGTGTGTTGGCGTGGGAGTGTGCACTTTGCAGCTGTGTCAAGATTTCTGTGCTATCATTTAGTTTCTTTTTTATTGATCTCCAGCTGTATCTATTTTCAGGTATTTCAAGTATCTGCTTTATTTTTTTAATCTATTTTTTTGTTTTGGTTTCACAGCTCTTTTCTCTTTTGAATAGTAAATGTTTCTGTGTTCACTAAGTGAGCACATTAAAGATCATGGCCACATTTGTCTGTGATCCAATTATATGGGCCAAATCTAAACTTTTTTTTAAAAGACATGATTTAGCATTCCATGAGCACCGGCCGGAGTACCGTTAGTCTGTCGAGTTTCTTAGCTTTTCAAAGGCAGCGATCTCAAAAGTGCGCAATCAGCGAGCCAGAACACAAGACAGCTCATCAAAACACTTGTTGCATGAAACGTGGCTCTGAGAAAATTACCGTATAAGACGTCAGGTGGCTCGTGACACAACAGGTATCAGTACCCAGTGCAACAGGGAAAATCCCTGCACTGTTGTAGGATACAAGAGCCAACTGAAGAATGCACAATAGAGGTGGAAAGATTTGAATCCTGCAGGAGACACTGATACAGCATCTGCACAGTCACCTTTCAGTCTCCAGGTCCTTTGTTGTTTACTGCTGCGACAAACATGTCGGCAGTTATAATGGCCAAAAAGTGGTCCAATCTGGACTGAAAAGGGGGTTATGGACTACAGGGTACCGATAGTGCTGAAAATACCAAGTGGTCTTTTCACAGAAAATTATTCAAGGACACATTTGGTCAGTGATTATTCATGTTCCTCACTCATAAACGAAAAATACGGGTCTGCTGGTTACAATCGCTTGAATGTGAAGATTTTATTTATTTTCTTAATTTCATATCAAAGTTAATTTAATACATTTAGGGAAAATATTAAATTCTAAGACATCAGTTCACGCTCAGTTAAGTTGTGATATTTGCTTTCTTTATTATATATATTTTGATTATTTTTGAAATTTCACAGACTAAAAGATTAATGAATCATCAATAAAATAAACAATACATTAATTTACTATGAAAATGATGCCTGGTCTACCCACCCTGCAAAAGTGGATGGTACCTCACCTATAGCTGGTAGCACAACTACATTCTTATGGCCATAACCTTCTAATCATGAGTCTGTCGCTCTCTTCTCTTCACACCCCACCCTTTAACAAATCCACAACATTCCTGCACCTGATTAGATATTCTCCAAAAGCCATATCTGGCATGTCTCAATCAGTGTCACTGTCTGTTATGACTGTCTGTTGTGTGTTTTCGAATGCATATTAATTTGACATAAAAATAAGAAGTAAAAAAGAAAGAGAATGAAATTACTCAGTATCTTATATTTCAAATACATGTGGCGAATGCTCACAGTTCAGCGGCAAGCATGTGCCACCGCTCCCCCTGAGGGAAGACTTGAGTGATGATTACATATGATTGTACACCTGGCCTATTATGAAAATTGATCCCGTTTCTTATTTGTTCCCTCTGCACGGTACTCAAGAGGAAACCAGCCACATGGAGAGAGCTCTGCATCCACAGTGCACCGTCTTTGCTCTTGCTCTGATTATAATCTCTGTTGATTAGATTGCCCGCAGTCACACTCAGACGAACCAGAGCTCATGGATGCTGACAAAATGGCCTGATTTTGTAAAATGTTAGCACGACCTTGGTCCTCAGCTGTGCCATGATGTGGGAGCATGGGGGTTCAGTGTGTAATGTATATGTAATGTGTGTGACGATCCCTGGGTGAGGTGCTTCAGTGGCGGAAAACAGTGAGCAAGATCTTGAAAAGATCACGTTTTATCAGCTCGGATGTCATGGGATTTGTGTGTGTGTGTGTGTGTGTGTGTGTGTGTCTGTGGTCTGAGTGTGGCTGTGAGCTGTGGAGGTCTAAAGGAATAGTTTTGGAGAGTACACTACCACTCTCGTGTCTGCATGCTGAATATGAAGCTACAGTTAGCCAGTGGCCACTTAGCACAGCTTAGCTAAGCAAAAGCCAAGAAAAAGTCTGGCACACGACCCCCGCGGCCATTTTTGCACTTCAGTGTGTCTACGCATTTTCAAAACACTAAATATAACATGTTAATTAGTGAGTTTAGTGGTATTTTGGGCTAGTTGGCATGATTGTGTTACCTCCAGAGAGAGCTAAGCTAGCTGTTTCCCCTGTTTCAAGTTTTTATGCTAGGTTTTTAATGCTAAGCTAACCAGCGGCTGGCTGTAGCTCACCTAACTCTCGGCAAGAAAGCAAATAATTTCTTTACATCGAGTCTACTAGAAGGAATGTTCCCAGTTTCATTCTATCAAATCCAAAGAAGCTTATTAGATGACACATCTTTTATGAACCTGGCAGGTGACTCTGCTCTCCTTCCTCCTCCTCACTCCTGTCATCCTCCACAGTAAGCCCTGGAGGGAAAGTGTTTCCTCTCTCTGCTCATCCTTTCACTTGGTTATCTCTCCTGCAGTCACCAAGGACACTGAGCCAGCCCTCAGCCCCTTTCCTCCTTCAACAACAACAAGGTCTCCCAGGTGGAGCATTATGTGCGTTGCTATCTTCCTTCTCCACCGCATGTTCCGTATCTCTAATCTCCTCCTCCACTCCCCCTATCTGTCCCACACTGGCGACAGGAAACATAGGACACATCCTCTGCCTTGTAAAACCTCCAACATAACAGGAGAAATAGGTAGGAACCTCAGGGCCACCCTGATACCTCAAAACCTTGAATAATTTATTCATAGATCAACAAAAATAATATCTGCAACTGTTCTTAGATCATAAAATAATTGGTTTATGTCATTTTTTCTCACGTTCCTGCACTCCAATGTGAAGATTTACTGCATTACTCTGTTTTATAGCATCATAAACAAGATACATTTACTGATTCTAGCATCTCCCTTTTTACGATTTGCAGCTTTTTTGTGTTTTAGTATTTTTTAAACTGAAGATCAAAAAAATGTTTCACTATTTTCTGACATTTTCTTCCAATGCCATGTTTTAAATGGATCAAACTTGGAATAAGATTTAATCACATGCAAAGTCCAGAAAATATCACCCACGTTATGACTCAAAACATTTAATGAGGGACGAATCTGAATGATTGCACATATAAACGGACACACAGTCGATTACTGATGCCGTTACGACTATTACTTTTAACAATGAAAAAAAAAAGTAATTATTTACCTCCAGAATATCTTTGGCACAGCTGTTGTGTTGGCTTCTTGTTACCTGGGCAAACAGAAGAAAGGAGGTGATGGATCAATGAGGAGAAATTCACAGGAAGTTCAGACTGACAGGTCATCAGAGTTTTGCGACACTTCAGAACAACAGACACAAGTCCAGTGTCAACTACACAAGCACATGGAAGAAAGCACACAAACCGAAATTGTAGCATCTGAATTACAGTAATGTGCAGAGTGTCTCATCTAAAATCCACACGTAAGCAAGTTCAACAGCAAATACAGCTGTGCACATGTACATAGACACACAGCTCTTAGACTCATTCATTTCTTTCACAAACGTCATTGCTCGAGATGTGTACTTTTCAGTCTCTCTCACACAGATAACACACACACACACACACACACACACACACACACACACACAAAAAAACCTTCCGCACTCTGCTTCCCGCCTTTTTGCTGTAAGATTTACAACTTGGTGTTAAACTTTACTGTAAACCTCACGCACACACACACACACACACACACACACACACACACACACACACACACAC